ATATATAAAATCATGTATGATGACATTAACAGTTTAATACAAGTGCAGAAATATGATAGAATAGTGTGTAATTGTTATACATGGAAAGGAAATGAAGGTGCAAAGTACATTTATAGCATGATGTATTGATGTAATTTTGTTAGCTGTCTATAAAAATGTTATCATTTCCACAATCCGTCAACCACCGTTTTAAACATCAGTCAAACTGGGGGAATGTATATTTTACCAAGTTCTATATAAAATGTGTTTGCAAAATCTAAACAGATTTGTGTACATCTTTGAGTTGTTAAATTCCTATGTATATGTAATAGTCATCTAGGAATAGCTGAGAATGATATATCCTTTACTGTAAAACATGTTTAGTTCTTCCAGTACTTTTTATCCACAATAAATTCTAGAGTACAAGACTTCTGACTTCAGATGTCATGGTTACTGATGTAGAATTCTCAGGCTGAGTTGCTCCCTTGACTTTGCCCTTTGAAGATTTAAAAGTGGTATGACTATAATTGAACAAAGCATAATTTTAAAAGTAATGTTGGCTACATGTCAAGACCAAAATAGTGGTTTTCTTTTTATATTTTATAAAGTCTCTCACTCAGTCTTTTTCATGTGTTTGATGATTCCTTACAGCACTGAGTAGTTTCTTGTAGATCAGTCTTGATCACACTTGAATGTACTGATCTGCTCCTGGTCTGTCATGTGATAACCAAATTTTAACCCAGATTGATACATTTCTGTGATCCACCTATGTTTAAAATGTAAAGCTCATTGATCCATATTGTTGAAACAATCAAAGTTTGACAATCCTAGTAGACTAATTATGTTTGTGTATTGGAGCTACTGTCATGTCAGTGGGGTCTAACCTCAGAATACAAAGACCTCTGCTACTTCAGTGAAACAAGGCTCGTAGAGACTGAGCAGACCACACAAATATACCTCTTGAGATCCTACTTTCTAAATGTTACTATACAGAGACTGTATATTATGAGACATATATATGAGACATATATAGGGTCTATTCACTAAGCTTCAGGCTGGTACGGCCTGAAATCAGCCGTATATGGGCTTGCTTCGCATGGCTTCGGGTCGGCCGAACATGCTCAGCATGTTCAGCTGACCCGAAGTGCAAAAGGAGTTCGTCTCAGCCGATCCAACATATGGATCGGCTGAGCCGAACCTCCGGCAGGCTACTCACTGCTGTTCGGCCTATTCTTATAGATGCCGAACAGCAGTGAGTGAAAAGCCGAATGTCACTGAGCGGCATTCGGCTCGGCTGTTCTGCTCGGTCCCTCAGAGGGACCGAGCAGAACAGAAAAATAGTTTAAAAAGTAAATAGAAAACGATTGTTCAGAGCTAGCAATGACAGCTAGCTCCGCCCAACAGTTTTCTATTGTCCGGCGGTTCTTTAAAAAACTCTCCCGGGCGTTCTGGGAGCCTCCTATTTCTTTTTTTTCTGTATTCTGACACGGAGCTGTGTCAGAATAGAAAAAAACAAAAAACATTTTTGCCCATTGGAATGCATTGCTAGATTCCTATTGGCTATTTCAATTTGCAATAGCCAATAGTAAACTAGCATTGTACCCACCCTCTGCTGATGGACCTGATGGAGAACTGCAGCAAAAGGAATCTAGCAATGCATTCCAATGGGCAATTTTTTTTTCCTATTCTGACACGGAGCCGGTAACCAGGGACGCTGATCTCTCTGCAAGTGGCCGGAGACACCCGTAAGATCACGGCTGGCTCTGCCCAGCTGTCAGAAACAGGCTGTCGGTCGGCCCATGGCCGGCCGCTTGGCCAGCTTTGGCTTTCAGCGCGGCTAAGCCGAGCCGAGGCATATGCGTTCGGCTCGACTGAGCCGCTCGGCCACATTTGGGAGCTGTACGGGCTATAGTGAATAGTCCGTACAGCACCCCTTCGGTTCTACTGAACCCAAGGGGTCCTGGGCCGAAGCTAGCCAAAGGATCGGCGGAAGCTACGGCTAGATCCTTCGGCAGCTTCGTGAATAGACCCCATAGCCTTTTTATTTGCAAATGTGTTAGTTTGGGAAGGAAAGAATAAACAAAGTCCAGTAACCAGATGCAGATGTTTTCTTTTTCCAGGTTGTCTGCAGTAGACTGATATCTGACACGTGTGAATATTCAAAGGATTACCACAGAGCAAGCAAATAGTATTTTTTTGCATTTTCAGGCAGAAAATTAACACATGTAGCATTCTCAGGAATGAGAGACAATTTCCAGTCAGTTGAATTTCGTAGAAATAAAAATTGCAAAAAAAAATGTTTTGTTTCTGATGAGACCAAAGTGTCAGGGAAAAATGAATTTCAAAGTATTTACAAGCATATATTTTCTAGAATTATTTCAGCTCTACACTGTGTGATTTTTATCACAGTATGAAATGCAAAGTGATTCCAAACTGTTTATTAAGAGATATAAAAATGTCTTTGCCTTCTAAAGCATTTGACAGATCTTCTTTTTTTGACCATAAATAAGATGGTTTTGGCAGATAATTTTCAGAACAATGACAATTCCCTTATTTTTTCATGAACCGCTAATTAAATCCTAGCTGGCTAACACCTATTAACTTAATGAATATCAATTTTTTTCGATTTTTCAACAGCTTCACTCTGATGTGGACACAGGAGAAAATTCCATCAAATATGTTTTGACAGGAGAGGGGGCAGGTACCATTTTTAATATTGATGAATTTACTGGGGATATACATGCAAGCAAGAGGTTGGATCGGGAGGAACAAGCCTACTACACTCTTCGTGCACAAGCTTTAGACAGGCAAACAAATAAACCTGTAGAGCCTGAGTCTGAGTTCGTCATTAAAGTGCAAGACATAAATGACAATGAGCCCAAATTTCTGGATGGCCCTTACATTGCTGGCATTCCTGAAATGTCACCCGTTGGTAAGAAAAACAAATGCTGCTATGTTTACAAGTATGTATTGTAATGTATTGGTGAGTGGGGACTCAGACACGTGGTCAGAAGATAACTAAACTAAGTAGGTGGTTTTGCTTATGGCTGGTTGTTCATCTGCAAAGACCACTGCGGTCCATTGTTAAAATATTTATACATCTGATGTACAAAAGAAAAAGTGCTTAATAATGAATAGCGAGGCTAAGTCTCAGGGATTAAACAGGTGGAGTAAAAAAAAGATTCTGGATTATTGTTTATGTGGTTGAACTAAGAGCAATTTATGGAAAAATATAATACAACAATAGTCTATCATAAAGTAAAGCAATTTAAACCTTGTATCGACAACCCTATCAGCAAGGTTTTTGCATGCAATCACATGTTTGGAAATATTGGCGATTGCGTGGATTATATTCCACTAAAAGTAACATAAAAATTACAGAAAAAAGATGAATATTAGTTAAAACAAAGTGATGTTACTCCAAATGTGCCGCATAAACAATCACTGATAGAAGGGCTTTCAAAGAATATACATGTTGATAAGCAGATGGAAAGACATATGGAAATGTACACAGATGAATGTATCAAAAAGTTACCAAAAAATGTAAATATATACTGTAAATCTATGGAAGAATACAAAACTGTAATGAACAAATTTAAACAACTCATATATATGTTACAGTAGGTGTTGATTGTTTACACTCTTTTGAGAAATGCATGCATACATACTTAGCCAGTAGAAAAATCTGTAGAAACAAAAAATAATAAATATGAGAATTAAAGGAATTTTAAACATAATAAAAATATGAAGATATATGTAGGTATACATGTTAGAAGCGATTACCTGTTCAGATAGAATATGTTAGCTATCCCTCAGGGTTACTTTATGTCTGGAAATATGAGCTAATGAAAAGAGGAAAGTGTACAGGAGGGACAATATTGAAAGGATATACTGTATATTCAATTTTGCAAGGTGAAACAGCATTCTAGGCAGGGAGATAAAGACTTGGTAGTTAAGTGGAGAAAACAGATAAAGGGTTCAAAAACATGCCAAATCCTAAAGAGTAGGAGTGTTCCAAACCAGCTGCTAAATTACAGCTATGTCTGTCAGTAATAAAAGAATTGTGAGGGGTGGGATGTGGTTGAGATCTGTTCAATAACAGACATGTGAGGTAAAGGATATTAAAGTACGAATAGGTCTGATCAACACATAAAGCCAGCTGAGATAAAATGATGTGAGTAGTGGCAGAAACCTGGGTGTCAATCTGTTTTTTATTTTTGTTTTGGTGTATGAACAGCTGAGCGCAGACTTGAACTGTGTGAAGTAGAGTCTGGGTGTGGGACTGTTTATTGAATTGTGAGAATGGTGATATTAGAATGTGATAATCCAAGAACACACATATCCTGAAAACCAGTCAATCTTGCATCTTCTTGCTGCATCCATTTCCTAGCACCTGGATCCATCATTAGGCTCTAGGAGAAGCCTCCTTATTTGTGACTAAGAACATATCTTGCACTTTAGAAACAGATATTACGTTTAGTGAACCACCCAATTAAAGAAAACAACATAACAGTTATGGGGTGATTTATTTGAAAGGTTACATGTTTCTTAAAAGTTGTTTTTTTATTGATATAAAAAAATGTATTTAAAAAACTAACATTAACTACAGATTCACCCCTGACAAATGTGTTACAATAGAAGTAGTGTTTCCTTTTAGACTGCCCCTTCTTTTTGAAACTCTGAACATAACCCTGTAGAGCAAGGAGGGAGGGTGAATGAGTCACTTATATGTGTGTGTAAGCCATGGGTAATCTAAGCTTTAGCTATTCTCTGTAAGCAACACCAAACTAGTTAAGATTAGCCTGCCAAATACAAACATTAGCCCAGCAGTTCACCTACTGCCTAGAAATAGTAAATATAAAATATTGATATAAAATGAAAATATATTCCAAACATTGTATTTTTTAGCCCTGAACATAAAAAATGAAGAAAATAATAACCCAAAAAAGTTCACATGCCCATTGCTCACTTGAGCAATGGGCATGTGAACATAACCTACTGAAACTGATAATAGGTGGTCTTTAGCTCTTGGCGCTAATGGCTGCCAGCTGAACAATCCACTTGCTGTTGCACACTCAAAGTTTTCAACAGTTTATCACAGTTTTTTACACAGACTTGAGGGGGCTGCTCATCCAAGGCTCTGGGGCTTCCACCACGAACATAGAAAACAAAAGGGAACAGAGCGCCACCTCCGTGTGTAAAATCGTTTATTACAACATATAAAACAAGGGATAAAAGTACTCACAAACAAACGTTTTCATCAGGCTTTAACAACAAACGAGAGGCCACACTGTCTGTTAACCCAACATGGAACCCCCCCGACTATGTAACACGGTAGTCTCCAGTGACATCACTGTCCACCGACCGCAGTCAGCCACGATTGACGTGTTTCAGGGGCAAGCCCCCTTCCTCAGAATCATCGCTATGCCCCTGAAATGCGTCAATCATAGCTATGATTCGGAAGAAGGGGGCTTGCCTCTGCTGTACGCGGCCCGAAAACGAAACTAAAAGTCAGATGCCGGCATCTAACTTTTAGTTTCGTTTTCAGAAATTCCTGACATAATCATAACGCCAGGGAGGTTAATGGATCTGTGGCTATCCATAGGTTGAGAATAATGTCTGAGATGGAAAGTATACAGGTGTCGGTAGTGTCCATGTACATCTAGTAAGTGACATTGGCACTGTATTTGACTTAAAATAAATGAAAATACTTACTCTTTCTTAGTAAATATGATGTCTAAGTAGTAAATATGATGTCTAAATATGATGTCTATTGATTGTTCCTGAAGCCTCAACAGTGCCTAGTCATAACTGCACATTGATAATCTATATGATTTGACTACTTAACTATAGCTCTGATGGTCTGTAAGCAGCCGATTACCAATTGATAGTGCTGTACTCAATGGTCTCTCACTAAGACCAGTGTTATTGTTTGCTTCTGCCTGCTGCTGGGATGTGACCCTGAGTAAGAAGACAATAATTCTGGGTTTTGAATATTTGTGTCTCTCTGGCCAATCACTAGGAGGTTTATTGCCAGTGGTGCATGTTGGGGAAAGACATAAATATTAGGGGCTTACCTTGTGAGTGCTCTGGCTTGAGGGAGTATATGTGGCTGGCTTTAGTATAGTTAGGCGTTTAGGCCTAAAGCTGTCCTGTCTGGTAGAGGGGAAAGCTGACCCAAGATGGAGTGCCAGGGTGAATAAATCAGCTGGAGGGAAACTTGGTAAGAACTGGATCCTTACAGGGGCCTGGTAACTCTCTTTGAAATTGGAAACAGAGAAGACTGCTGCCCAGCTGAGTTTCTATTACATACAGTGATGCCGGTTTCGGCTTAAATGCTCTTTGCACTGTATAGATGAAACATAGATAATGAGTCTGTACATATCCTGGGTGTCTTTAGCCCTTGTCCCTCTCTCCTTGTGAGCTACATTGAAGAATAAAATCTTTCAAACACCTTAAACTGACTGATGCTAAACTTACACTTGCAACTTACAACCAGCCAAGGAGGTGAAATGTTAGCCCTCTGGGGTCCCTTACGTGCCTTTGGAGGGTGCAACAATAGGATATGGTACAATATAATGTTCTACATTATTGCATCCATTTCTTTCTGCAGTTGTGTACAATTTTTATACTTCATGCTATTTATTATTAAAAGGATTTTTCAATCAATTAAAAATAAGAAAACAAAACCCTCTCAACTTATTGCCAAATGTGCAGCGTCATGGGTCTTTCTGTTGAAATGGTTGCTGGTTAGCATTTCTGAAGGGAATGAGCTACTCCAGATATGTTTGGCATGAAGGATCATTGGCTCAGAAATTATTTGTAAGCTGTTTTCAGGTGACAAAAGTTTAGTAGCTCTGAGCATTTCAGCAGTCTTGTACTGGTATTTTTATTTTGTGTTAACAGCTGATTGACAGTGGTCTGTATGGGAAGTCTCTGCCATAGCAAACCTAGGTGTTAAATGAGTGGATTTTTATTTTACTAAAAATTTCCTGAAAATTGTTAATGACATTGATTATGATAAATAAAGTATATATATATTGCTATTCAATTTTTTTATAGTACATACATTGAATATGATATATACATCTCTGAAATAGTAATGTTTCTAGAATTACAATATTATAAATGTTTTACAATGTACTGCTGTAGGTTGAAATCTGCTTAACTGAAAGCCAATACCATTTTATTAAGGAACATCAGTGCTGCAAGTAACAGCAACAGATGCAGATGATCCCACTTATGGAAATAGTGCTCGAGTTATCTATAGCATTCTGCAAGGTCAACCGTACTTTTCTGTCGAGCCAAAGACAGGTAAGCATGTTGTTAATTTCAGAGTGCCTGTCACATAAAATAATTAATACGGCAAATGTTTGTTCCATGCTAATTTTAAATTATTATGAAGCACATATGCAAAACGTGTTCTTTATTTTCTAAATTTGCATAAGTAAAGGTTGTGTTTTACCAAAAATTAAATAAATCTCAATAGATACAGTGGGTAGTTTGCAGAAATGTATTTGATTTGAATTAGTACTATATGCTAGATACATTGTACTGTATGTCAAAATTATTGATATGCTATTTTTGGCTTTTAACCCTTTCGCTGCCTAACACTTTTAACCTCAGTTGGCTAGGCCATTTTTGCAATTTTTCACCTTTTTTAAATTTTCAACTGCAAAATAAAGACCCCCAAACCTTACATTTTCTGAAATCACAGGGCCAGTAGAATGAAAAGATGGTGCTATTAATTTTTTAGGTCCTGTGACAGCCCTGCAACAATTGCGCAAATGTTTATCAAATCAATGTTTTTGCTAAAATTACACTAAAATCATTATCAGCGCATACAACAAATCCCAATACTTTGCAAGATTCCTACCAAATCAAAAAGATAAAACTGTACTGAGTTAATAAATAATAAATATTTGTAAATTTTAAATTGTCCTATTTTGCCAGTGAAAAATTGAAGGAACACAAAGTTGTAAATAAGCAACTTATGCTAAACATTTGTGTAAAATCTGATCTGCATTGCTGTTTGTGTGCTGTTGTGGTGTTTGTTGTGATACAATGATGGAGGCACACATTTAATCACAACACGGTGTATTCCATTGCAAGGCAATGCATAGCAATGCTTTGCCATGTGCTGCCACACCAGCTGCAGTGGTCTGTGGATCCTCCGAGGGGGAGAGCAGCTGGGATCGAAGGGGACACAGACCGCGCCATGGAGCCTGTCTTCACCAGGGAGGAGAGAGCTGCAGAGTGGTAGAAGCAGCGGCGGGAGCAGTGGCAGGAGCAAGTGTGGGGGGGGGGGCTGAAAGCTATTCATATACAGAGAACCATCAAGGGAAGCCTTGAAGCAACCATGAGCTTATAGCAGAAGGCTGATTGCGAGCAACGTAAGGCATACTGAGCTGGCCAGCTGGAAATGGTTTTGTTCTGCTGTATGCCCTACGTTGTTGGCAGGAAAAGGGTTAAATAGTAGTTTCATGTGTTTTACAGATAGATTTTTACTATGTTAACCACTTACGTACCTAGGCCTTTTTCTCCATAAATCCCCTTGAGTCACAGAGCAGAGAATTATGTTTCAGTTCTGCTTATTATATCTAAACAGCACTTGCTGGTAATAGTGGCAGGGTGGCAGTGGGCCCAGTTGGGGGTCTGTTGGAGTGATGACTGTAGACAATAAACTCTAGAAAATCTTGACATTGGCATATACCCTTTGTTTGAAAAACCTCAACTGATTAAATTAGATGTAAATGCATTCTTTAAAAACCCTTTTCTAACCTTTTATTAATCTGCAGCTTTCATTAAAATAATACTGATCCTACAAACAAAGTTAATGTTCTTCCTGTTATGAAGAATATAACAGAGAAACCTGCTGGGAAACCAACACTTACGAGAATGTTAGTCTCTTGGTCCCTTGCGGCTCTCACTGGTTTCTCCTGCTGACCTCCATGTCATTACATAATTTAGCACTTACCTGTATGCAGATAGGAAAAACCAGTGGGTGCTGCGGGTGGGACCAAGGAGATCAACACTCAAGGACTTGTTGGTTTCTCAGTAGATTTTGATGGGCCATTTTCTAGTACCTATTAAGGGAGAGGTATGTATTTTTTTATATTTACTGGTATGTATTCCCTGTAACCTAATTCTGCTGTGACAGGGTCACAATGCAGCCTTATTTCTTGGGGAACAATGAAAGAATAAGATAGAAAAAAAAGATTAAGCAGTGATCATTAAAACACTACAAAAGCAGCTATTAATGAAAACAGCTCCTGTCACGTACTAAATTGCTTTATAATCACCATTATAAAAAATAAAACACCCACCTATAGGAAAAGTGGGTGCCAACCTCATAAATCAACTATACCAAAACGAAATGATCATTAGAACTTCTCAAAATTAGTTATCCTTTTTTCACTGCAGTTACTTTTTAAAACAAATCACATTGTACATGGATTGTATTAAAACACCTGAAAATTCATGAACTCCTACTAGTTAGTATTCTTGAAGCAGGTGATAATTATGCAGGTATGGCTTGGCTCACGTTGTGCCGCAGCATGGCTTAGAATATCATGAAGTTCATCTTATCTTCAGTTATATTAATTCAGTTGAGCCTCCGGGACTTTATTTTAAAAAAAAAACAACTTTCTCTGAGATAACTATCTGATACAGCATAGATGACTGTGATATCCTTTTCCAGAGTCTCTTTCTCTCTCATTTAAATATAAAGTTATAAATGCAGAACTATATACTTTTTCATGGTTAATGCCTTTATGAACAGGGAAACTATGGACCGTTTCTTGGTTAATGCCATCATGACTAAGGGATTTTGTGCTTTAGTTATCCTACTTATTCCCTTTGGAAGACTTAAGCTGTATTATTACTTTTTGGGGGGTCAAAGTGCTTAGACACGTAGGGGTCTATTCACGAACCAGCCAAAGGATCTAGCTGTAGCTTTGGCCGATCCTTCGGCTAGCTTCGGCCCCAGGACCCCTTCGGTTCAGTAGAAACGAAGGGCTGCAGTTCACTATAGCACGTACAATTCACTATAGCCCGTACAGCTCCCGAACTTGGCCGAGCGGCTCAGTGGAGCCGAACGCATATGCCTCGGCTCGGCTGAGCAGTGCTGAAAGCCGAAGCTGGCCAACAGCCTGCTTCTGACAGCTGGGCGGAGCCAGCCGTGATCTTACGGCTTGCTCCGGCAATAGTAACAATATGTCTTCCCCTGCCATTGACCGAATAGGCCAGATGAACATTTTTATGGCATATTATACATGTTCTCATTCCTGTGTTATTCACCACTGCTATTGTGTGCACTTGAATAAGAGCTTGAATATAAATGTGTGCAAAAAAGGTACCCTAAAGTCAAATTACATCTTTATCATTTAATAGGGGTATGCAGTCAAGTGAAAAGTAAAAAGGAAAGAAAAATAAAGAATGTGTGAGGTTTTTTTTAATGTGTTGGTGCTATATTACTATATGAAACTGCTCTGTCCCAGCAGCACACTGGAGACCTGGGCTGCTGCTCTTGCCTTGAGAGTCACCTTCAGTCTCTACCATTCCAGCATGCCCCCTGCATAATTCTGCAATCCACCACGTTCAAGTTTCCTGAGCAGCGTTGTTGATTGGGGTGCTGTGCAGGGGCTGTGCTACTGTTGGAAAGCTGAACTGCTGCATACTGTGTGACTCAGCAGTCCAGGTATGCTGCTGGAGCGGAGGAGTTGTATACAAAAGTAAAGCAAAAAAACATTCTTTATTTGATAAGCAGCCTGACTGTATACCCCTTTAAAAGATAAAGTTTCATTTGGGCTTTAAGGCCTAGCAACTAATGTACCTTAAGCGGATATTTAAGTGTATTTTTTATGAACAACTGCAATTATCTACTTATTTTTGCATTTAAAAACTGAAACTATATACATAACTACAGTTATAAATTATAATGCCACTGGTAAAGAATGTCAGACAAAAAACATATTGTGGCCACTACCTTCTTGAAAAATATTTAATCTTTTTATTTCATGGGTGTTTAAGTTGTAGTTTTTTGTAAAACAAAATTACTATATAAAATGGGTTATGCAGGTTAGTTCCAGTTACACGTCTTTTCACTTATTTGCCTAACAATAAAATATATTTTGGTATGTAGTGTTCACTTTCTGAATTTGGAAACCATAATCTAACAAATTTACATAACATAATCACACTTGCTCACCTGTAAAAATAAGAAAGATGTTCACAGTTTTGTGTCACTTTTACATTCACAACTGGACATGGAGTTCTGATGCTTATGTCAAGAGGCTTTTAGTATGGTCATTCCATATTATGACAGGTTTGTGCTATATTATTTTTTTTGCTGGCTGTAGGTGTTAATAGTTCTTTAAAATCAACATGCATTTCCTTTTGGCTTCCAATCAGGTTAAAATGAAATTTGTCTTGGCACCCAGCCATTTAGAAATCAAATTGCTATTGTTTTCTCTGGATTTACCCCACTAATAGCATAGCAGACTTTAAAAATCATTTCAGTGCTTACTAAATGCAGGGACAATTGCATGGGCCATAGGTGTGGCATGATTTATCTTAGTTCTAGCCATTTTATTTTAGGTGCTTTAATGCTGAATGCCATGCACAATGTTCCTCTAGTGTCACTAGTAAATCAAACTAACCTTTTCAGGTTTAAAGGTTTGAAATCACCATTTTACAGTTGAATTCACCATGTCATCATAGGCTTGCACAAATTCTATGAATATAGCTGGGTTGTGGATGTGAATTTGACTATGAGATATTCCTCTGAATGTAGTCACACTTGGGAGGCCACCTTTTCCACACTTGCCTATCACAGCAAGGTGGAGTGACTGGATGGGAAAAGACTGGGTGATATGGATTACAGTTTCAAATACTACCGCCACCACTGAAGTAATTACTGTATGTGAGCACTGCCTTTACAACACTACAATGGGACTGATCACCCTGTGGAAGAAAAGAGAGTAGCAGTGACCAGTCATTATTACAGGTAATGCCTTTACAGAAATAAAGTGCAAACAAGTGTAAGCCAAGTTTCTTGAAAAGTGCTGGCAGTAAGAAAAATGTGTACTTTTTAGTGAATGAGGTGAAGCTCTGCTTACTTCCATTGCCCAATCATGTGCAAGGAAAATGACTGTTTTTTTAAAAATTTTCCTTTCACATGATTGGGCATTATGTGCAATGTGAAATTTTACCACTTTCAGCAAGCTAAGGGAAACTTCCCATGTAAAGTGAAAATTCCCTTGCACAGTGAACCACGTATTTGCCTTATTTGCCCCAAATTCCCAAGAAATTCTGTTTATTATGCATTTGTTTCAACTTATTAATATTCACTTGCACAGTACTTTGTTGATTTGCAATATAAAATACATAAGGGAGTACTGAGGTGCATGGCATTTACCATGATGGCAGTGGCCATTGACAGGTTATGGCTGCTGCACTGGCACTGGCCCCAGATCGCTGTGCTCCCCTCTTCTTTCCACCACATGAAAAGGCTCCAAAGTTCTACCAATATAATAATATTTATATGATTTACAAGATTTTTTTTCAACATTTACTATATTTGCCACATTATGTATTTTATATTGCTTATCATGATTTGCTTATCTATTGGACTTGAAGTCAACTTCATGTACCAAGGCTCAACATGAATTGCTAACTTTAATTTTCATGGTAGCTTAACAAGTTTTAGCCAAGGCTTGGAAATCAGCTGTCCCTAGCATGCTGCAATTTAAATGAAAGATGTCTTAGTATTTGATGAATAAACACATTGCTGCCATTTGGCATGACACCATGTGAAATTTCCAGAAGATCTGGGACCCCTGAATCACATACTATAATTTCCAGGATGTAGGTCATATGCTCTGATTTATCAGCCTGCAACCTTGCTGGTGGGGTGGTATACACCAGGTTCTCTTCCTTCTGTTCTTTCTTTCTATTCCTCTCTGCTTTTTTCTGATTCCTATTCCTTTTTGGCTCCTTTCCTTCTTCTCTGACATCTTGCTTTTGATTAAGTCCTGCTCCATTCTTGTTTTTTTCCCCTGTTTCTAGTTTCCCACCATTAGAGTTGTTTCAGTGGTGGATTTCTTTTGAAGATTTGTACTGACTGAGCCCGATGTTGGGTGCTACTTAAGATTGCACCTGGGGATTCTGCCCAGGGTGAATATTGCTTTGCTCTTGTGATTTAATGCACAATTGTATGTGGCCTTAAAACCTGTATGTTCTGCTTCTTATTTTTTTGTAACCCTTAATAAAAATGTAATTTAAAAAAAATATTGTGACCAAAAAAAAGAGAATGGCTAAGCAGAGAATGCTGGGCATCTTTCCTGTTTTATTTTGATTGATTTCTATTTTATGTAAAGGAAGACGTAAGGTTGAGGTGATACATTGTATTAGAAAATAGAGTAAATTCCCTATTTTGACAGAAACTATATAGTTGAACAGATCTATACTATTTTAAAAGCTTGCATTTCTTAGATAGCTTACCAATAAAATTTATAATTTTCTACCACATAAGTTTACCTGAAGCTTAATTTCATATTCTCTTTTTTTGTCCTTTATAGGGGTTATTCGAACAGCTTTACCTAACATGGACAGAGAAGCCAAAGACCAATATCTTCTGGTAATACAGGCAAAGGATATGGTTGGCTTAATGGGAGGACTATCTGGTACAACATCAGTCACAGTCACCCTTACAGATGTCAATGACAATCCACCAAGATTTCCTAGGAGTAAGTTGTCATCTTAGAGCAAACACTGTATTTTCTGCATGTAAAAATGTGTATGTTTCAGTAAAAGAGCTTTAGTAGTTTTGCATAGTATAGTATCTGTTTTAGTAGATGAAGCTGAATTATACAGACAAACTAATGGCCAAAATATTAACTTGCCCCTCCTACCTACTGTGTTCAGACAGCACCATTAAAGGTTTTCATTAGGGATAGAATGACAAAATCTTAACTGACCACTGTGTTGAACACTCTATTCTCCATACTACTGGACTCTGTACACTTTCTATACACTATGGGGTCAATTCACTAAGCTGCCATAGGCAGCCGAGTGAATGACCGACCTAAACAGGCTACTCGCTGCTGTTCGGTCTATTCTTATAGATGCCGTGCAGTGAGATGCCGTGCACAACAGCAGTGAGTGAATAGCCGAATGCTGCAGAGGGACCGAGCAGAACAGAAAAATAGTTTAAAAAGTCCAAAAAAATAAATCGAAAACGATTGTGCGGAGCTAGCAATGACAGCTAGCACCGCCCAACCGTTTTCTATTGGCCGGCGGTTCTGCTGCCGTCAGAAAAAAAAACTCTCCCGGGCGCTCTTGGAGTCTCCTGCTCCCGGCCGCCCAGGAGAGGAACGCTGCTTTTTCTTTTTTTTTCTTTATTCTGACACGGAGCCGTGTCAGAATAGAAAAATCTTTTAAAAAATTTGCCCGTAGGAATGCATTGCTAGATTCCTATTGGCTTTTTCAATTTGCAATAGCCAATAGGAATCTAGCAATGGATTCCTATGGACAAAATTATTATTTTTTTCTATTCTGACATGGCTCCGTGTCCGAATAAAGAAAAAAAAAGAAAAACAGTGTTCCTCTCCTGGGCGGCCGGGATCGGGAGACTCCCGGAGCGCCCGGGAGAGTTTACTGTCTGGAGATCAGTGTCCCTGGTTACCTGGTAACCAGGGACGCTGATCTCTCTGCAAGTGACCCGAGCCAGCCGTAAGATCAAGGCTGGCTCCGCCCAGCTGTTAGAAGCAGGCTGTGGGCCTTACATAACTACTGAGTCCTGTAGTAATGTAGGGCCAGTGGAAAATATTACAGTGCATGGTTGAAGTTTCTAATGAACTTTTGAATACTGAAGACTTTGCCAGAACCTGTACTTTTCTGCCCACTGGAGAGGTAAGAATTGCATATCTTTTGTTGCAGGGCCAAGCTTTGCATATTTTATAACGTGACCAAGTTTCTAAAAGTCCCATCACTCTACTCTGAACTTATTATTGCATGTCTCTACTGTCATTCACTCACCACTGTACACTGTGTTACATATTCCATACTGTTCCTCTCTGTGCACTGTGCTGTACCTTCTACACTGCTTCACATATTGCTCCACTCAGAGCACTGAGCAGGACATTGTGTGTGTATTCCCCTACAGCTATATGGCATGTCTATTGTCCCCCCTCCAACTAATCAAACACTAATTTTCTTTTATCCACATGGTCCCTTATTTACCCAACAAAATGCACTTGTGCTAACAGTGTTACTTCTAATTGCATATACAACAAAATATGTAAATTAGAGAAAACAGAGCTATTGCTTTAGTTGCCTTTCTATGGTATATTAATATATAGTAAGTGCCTTTGTTAACTAGATATATAAAACATATAGGTGTTCTTTTCTGAAGTATTGTAATATCACATGTATTACATATTTTCTGTCCTATGCTATTTAGAAGATCTGAGATTAAATACGTATTCACATTGTAACGATAGTATGTATATTATTCACCAGACAGCATAACATAAATAAGGATAATGTGCAATATATTTGCTCTGGGCTGTTGTAAGAGGATCTAATAGAAATATAAAACTTTGTATCATTTTACCCACTGTATGGTAATCTGCTATGAGACATTTGCTACAATGTATAATGAACTTGACAGTCACTATAAGGTCAAGACCTCAAGATGAAAACACTGAAGTCTGCTTCTGCTTTTGAATTAATCCTTGATAAGAAAAAAAAACATACATTCAGGCACTGAAATAAAAGGATAGGCAGTACTAACAATGAGTGCACAGAATACTGAAATACTGATGAAAATTAATGTTAATGTGAAGATAGAAAGTGTGAAGAAGAAGTGAGTTTTAGGAACACTATTCAGTTTCTAACAACTGAAAAAATTAGATAAATAGCACTGTTTGGTACTCAACGACAGCTATTGCAATGGATTTTTGTCTGTTTCAATATATTTATTGAAATTTTGTATGAAAGGAGATAACATAACATTGCATAGACTGTCAAATCATAAAACAAGTATAATGGTTTGTCTAGTACAATGTATTAATACAATAAGTACAATTAGTAAAATATTACAATGGATTTTTGATAATATCTATTATTAAACACCACCATATAATAAAGCACATTTAAACAGCCTGTTACAGTATAAATGTAGGTTTCTATTTTATAACAAATCATAGGATCTAGTCTTTCAAACACTATAGTTTCTTTGTAATTGAGTTCAAGGTAATGTTTTGTAGTCATTCATTTTTGACTGAGACTGTAACATTTTTACACTGTATATTGTAATCAGTTCCGATTACACTCCTGTGCCCCATGAATACAAGTTTCCTAAATAAGTAAAACACCTCTATGATGAAAAACAACAGGGAGCTCAAAATAATGGATCTCTGGAGGCATCACTGGCTGGTATCATAGCAGATGATTGTTGGAATGTAAACTTTGACCCAGTAGAGCAGTACATTATAACATTGCCTTTTCATATTGCAGCCTGGCCATTTCATAGACCCATAAAAGCTATGAGGGTTCATTTGACAGTCCCCAAGACCCTAATCCTAACAAAACCTATTAAAGTCATTAAAGCAGAACCAAAAATATATATACATATCTATATCTATATCTTAACTGCGAGTTACAGTTATAAATGCTTGCATACCTGCTAATCTGTATTACCTTTTGCATCATCCATATTTAATATTATTCAGATACCTTCTTGCCTAATCTTTTAGAGGGAGGTGATTTGGATGGTGCTACCATCTAAGGGAAGTGATATAATATTTCCCTCACAGGTTCTGTAGGAACTATTCTTCTTTGCCAGAAATCGGGCTTGTAATAGGGAGCTTTTGTCCCACCCAAATACCCCTGTCTTTATCCCTATCATTACTCACTTGTCACTTATTTCAAAAAAACAAACCATAACTTTCAACAAATAAAAAGGGAGAACACAGGGCAGGTCTAGGAGGGACACACTGTTCTGTCAGTGATGCTATCTGCCCCTTATAGCAATGTAGGAGCAAAATTACATTCTAAGAGGGATGTGTAAAATGTTTATCACCTCCCAGCTGTGAGGCCAGAAGAGCCAAAGCCAACAGGTCATATCAAGTCCCAGGTCGTCCATTAATTTGTGACTGCACAGCAACTGAAAAACTTTGACTTGAAAAGATACAAGACAATTCAAAAGGCAACCTTTTTTAGTTTTGGATAGAGTGTGGTAAGGATTAGAATGACTGTTAGAATTGTATTGCTGTCTGTATTTTTGCTAGGGAGATTTGCTTTCTCTTATTGTCCTAGTAACCAATGTCACTATGTAACTATGTAACTATGTAACCAATGTCACTGGGACTGAAAGGGAGTAAAAATGTAAAATTGTGAGTTGCAAAACCAGAACAAGAATAGAAGAGAAATCTTCCCATGGGGACATCTGTTCTAGTGACACTTTGAACATATTTTGTTTCACTTCCTGTTGTGTCTGCAGGGCAGGAGGTAAAGAGAAATTGTTTAAACAGGGCACAAAAAAATAAATCTGACAGGGGTTTTAACCCAACCCCCCAAGAAGGAACCTAGCACCAACCTAAAACTTAAATGAAGTACTACTCCCTTATTATTCTACATACTTATCTCAACCTGTGTTGCACTCCTCTGTATCAATAGCAAACATGTCGCTCACCAATCCATGACAAAGAAAAAGATTTGACCTTTAAGCAAGAGATTATCTTTAATACTGTCCAAATAGCAATAATCTAATTTTATGAAAAATTATTATAGTAAATAACTTGCTTATTGCAGAACTTGATTTTAATGTGTCTCACCAACTACATGAATTTTACCTTGCATATACTACGATACTAACAAAATATTCACAGAAAAGATTATACAAATATGTGTTTCTGTTACTTCTACTTTCAGTTCAGTTTCATTACAAACAATAAGAAGTACAGTTATATATGGGTTTACTTATGTATGTAATTTTCTATGTCTCGAGTTACCTACTATTACTGTATGTGCAGTAGATTGCTGACCCATGTCCTATAGTATATATAAAGGAAAACCTATATTTTCTGCTGTTGGACAGGAAAAAAATCTCAGTTTTTTTGGGGGGGGGTTTGCTGTCTGTTTTCTATTTATTTATTTGATTTCTCTTTACTTCCTGAACTGGAAGATACAACAGAAAGTGAGAGGACATCTCTCCAAAGTTATTGCCAAAAAATAGTCTCTACTAGAAGTATGGAAGATTTCTCCTATATTCCTTTTTCTGCTGACAATGATAAGTTTTGGACTTGCCATCACTTTCTGTCCAGATGACAAAAGTCTCCAGGATAGACAGAAGACACAGAAAACAATAACACCATGGCAGAGGGTTCTAACTAGGGTTGCACAGATACCAAGTACAGTACTCGGTACAAGTACAAGTACATGTACCGATACTTTTGAGCTCCAAGACTAGAGAAAATTTCAAAAATTAGGAGGCAGCTGTCATTTGTAAGGAGCACACAGAGCTCCTGTGATTTGTACATCTCTGTTTTAATATATGATTTTGTTTTTATAAATATAAATAAAGGGATGCCCAGATACCAGTTTTGCGAGTACGAGTACTGGTACTTACAAGTACGAGTACTGATACATTTTTGTTTATTGTCATGTGACAGTTTTTCTAAAACAATACAGACTAATGATTTCAGGACAGTGGTGGAGCACCAGAGCCAGGTCCCAGCTGCAACCGCTGCAACCCTGGTAGTTCTCGTGAAAATGCCAAGTATCGGCACTGGTACTCGGAAAGTATCTGTGCATCCCTAGTTCTAACCCTTACCAACCTAGTCCAAAACTAGACATATTCTAATATTGATAATTTCCTATTTTTTCTTTCATTAGAATCTGATCAGTATTCTGTTCCTGAATCATTGCCCGTTGGCTCAACAGTAGCTAAAATAAAAGCAGCAGATGCTGATGTGGGACTAAATGCTGAAATGGAATATAAAATTGTCGATGGGGATGGACAAAGTGTCTTCAAAATATCTGTGAATAAAGATACCCAAGAAGGAATTGTTGCAATTCAGAAAGTAAGAATATGTGATTACAATGTATTGTTTTATGGACCTTTTGTGTAATGCATGAACTGTTTGAGTGAAGGCAATTAGGAAATGTGTTGAAATGAAGTTATTTTCTAATGTTGCTATCTAACCTCTGATTGTGTACATTTGAATTAGAATGTAGCTTTAATTATACCAGCTTCTACGCAATACATTCTATAACATGGATGCTTTCTACGGTACAGAAGCAAAGCCATTTAAAGCCTAAACACACCCTTTTCACCTTTTCTACTTACAACATATTAGCTGCTTAGTCTTAACTTTTCTAATTAAGTTTAATTACTTTTCTTTCCGTTTCATGATTCTTCATTTTTCTGTGTGCTTTTGGGATTGTGTACTTTTCATATTTTACTAGTTGCATTTTATCTCCATGGTAACAGGCAACCTTTATTTGAAAGGGGAAAAAAAGCTACTGTAGTCACCATAACAGTTTTGTGCCTGCTACTCATGCATATTGCAGCTCACAACAAGCTTAGCCCCCATTGTATGTATTTAGGGATGCTTTTTTTGTTTAGTTTTACCCGCCTAACACAAAAACCAAATAACACCACAGATAAATAAGAATAATATTACAAGATATTAAAATGATAACAACAAGATAGGACTTAGGAGTTTCACTCCTAAAATACAATAAATGGTAGGCTGATTCTGCAAATGGAGCTGCCTTGCTGTCTCTGGCTTCAGTACTTTCAGTCATTAACCTGGAGCAAGCATATTGCAGATAAAGTCCCTGATTTGCCTATTTGTACTGAATAAGTGATTCCAAAAGTATTTGATACATTGCATTATTATGAAAGCCAGGTAAGAAGCATTTTTAGAAAGAAATGTCAGTAATGGATTCCTACATGGCCCTTGAATTGGCTTTGCAAATTGGATTGCCAGAAATTAAATAACTAAACCCTCCCATCATCTTCAGTAATACACATGAAATCCACACTTTTTTTGCAAAAAATATACTGGCATGTACAAAGATCCAATAATCATTTCCGCACATTTTTGTTTAATTTGGAACCCAGGTCCAGCCATTAAAGCTAATACCCACATGGCTTAATTCCGGCACTTCGTTTCTTGAAGTGTGTCATTACCCTCCGTTTTTTTAAAGTGCACTTACCCTTTACTATGCCTATAGTATGAGAGGAAGGCTAGTGAAATACATTAGATCTCCTACGCAAACTATTCATAGGATTTAAATTATATTTGATCTCTATCAAATCATAATTTCATTCTATGCAATTGTATGTTGGCTGTCAGATTGCAAAACCTTGTCTGAAGGAACTAATGATGCATTTAGAAAAATTGCAATTAAGGGTGGGTCTGCTGAACATCATAAAAAAGTTCCATAACCCTTCAGAAGACCCCTCAGACTCTTTGATTGGTTAAGTTAATTCTGTAAAGGCCATTTTCAGGGATCAGAAAAGACTCTGCATCTGCAGCTCAGTGATTCTGCTGACATCAACGATATATGTTTCAGTTAAAACATGTAGTGGTAAATTTTGTGAGTAAGGGGTGAACTGTGGAGTTAACCCGCTCCCAGTAATGCCCATGCTAAGTCTGCTGGTGTTTAGATTGTTGTTCTATGAGCTGGAAAATCTCTGTGCAAGGTGAGGCTGAGAGTGCCCTTTATCAAACTAGGATTCGCCTAAAAATTCAATAAAGACCATTATCCAGGCATGCAGCCAGACTGGACAGAAAAGGAGGGGGCAGCAAGTGTGTGCTCCCCCTCCTAATCTGGCCCAAGAGTTTCATTTTTGTAAATATCTAAAAGCTTCTCCAAAACCAGAAATGGAGGAAAAATAGGAAGGAGAGCAGATGAAATATCTGTATGTTGTTGGTTGTATCTGTTTATTGTTGGAGGATTAGAAGTAAGAAAGATTACTTACAATGGTAGGTTGCTATAATCGGCATTTCATCTGAAACCTATGATAAGGAGCTGGTGCAAAATATATCTGTTTCTAGGCCAACTTTTTTGGTTGTTGTTTTTGGTTGCTCTCCGTGCCTGTTAGGGCATAAGGAAAAGCTTTGTAACACAATATATCCAAATAAAGGTACCGCCTTTAAGGTGACTTGGCAGAGGCTCCCATGGTTGTGTTAAAAAAAAAAGAGTGACATGGGTTTAACATTTTCAAACAGTGTAGCTGACACTTTGGACCATGGTGGCAGCTAGAATGCTAAAAAAATTCTGAAGAAGTGACCAAGTTATGCCACAAAATGCATCAGTATTGTATATGGTCCTCTCTAATTTGTTCTTATTAAAATTCAAGTTTAACTTTTTTTTTAAGACACAAAGTCAGGGGCACCTCTACCAAGTCATCCCAACTAGGGTACCTTTTCTTTCTCATAATATGGTAAATACAACCATTTTGATCACCTTAACTGATTGAGCATGCATACTGCATACTCCTGTTGCATGTAACATGTAAAATACTCTATAGTCTAAGTAATTAGGTTGTTACATTTCATTTACATTCTGATGTATGGCATATAGATCCTAAACAGTCCATTTTACATGTGTTTGAATAATTTTTGTCCCAAGTAAGAACATTCAAAATACCACAAATCAATTTTTTTTAGGTAAATTGTTAATTGCCTCCACAAATTTGGCTTGCCTCCATAAGAAATACTGTAATTGGTAAACAAAAGCTTGATAGTGGTAGTAATATTTTATATACAGATATGTTTGCCATTTTGTTTGGAGAAAGTAGACATCTCCATGGCAGATAAAACAGATAGATAACTTGGAATACTTTCCCCTCTGAACATCACTTCTAATTAGTTTTACAATTTAATCAATTATTATCACAGTAGCTGTTTGTAAAATGTACTTTACCAAACAAAATGTTCTACTTTTAAACCTTAATTTATATTCTGTGATGGTAGACTGATCAAATCTAAAATAAAAATCTGAGAGTCCATTATTCTGAGAATATATAATATTTAATTGGCAACCTGGAAGAAAATTGCTGTGGAAGCAATCAATTTAGGTATATTGTTATTCACCATTAAATGGAATAACACCATAAAATGTGTACCTTCATTTAACTTTACTTACAGAAAAAGTCAACTGACTAGAAAACTTTATATTATTGCAGCCAGGCAGATTTTGCACTTCATAAACCATACAAGGCCGGGTCATTGCTCAAGTTTGTTTGTTGCTGCTTCTTCTTGACTTGAGTGAAAAAATGCTGTACATCACTTCTCCAATGTGTACTCTGCAATTGCATTTATAAAAGCAGCTGAGTCATATGTTTGCACAAAAACTATACAATTAAGGTAGGTTATGATAGGGATTAAGTTCGGGTTCGCTATTAGAAAGGGTTTGCAGCAGATAAAGCAAGCTTAATATTTGTTGTCCTGGCAAATTAATATAGGGATTCTACAGACTAAATTCTTTGTAACTATAATGCACTGCCTGGTCTTTAACCCTTTCACTGCCAAGACCTTTTTTTTTCTTTTTTTTGCACACGTGTTATAATCCACATTTTAGGCCTGACATTTACTTCAAACCCCCAAACATTATATCTTTTATGAACGCCAACACGCAGTAGTATAAAATGGTGGCAGTTGCACATTTTTATGAGGCACGATATGAGCGCAACTCATTATCAAACCCCAGAATTTAGTGAAACAGTGTGTATTTAAGTTAATTTTAAGGCCCCAAAACACAATATAATATCACATGTTTTGTAAAATATAAAATATGAGGTTACAATGAGTTAAAAAATGCCCAACAAGCCCAGGTTACAAAATTGCATGCATCCGTGAAACGGCAACAAAATTCAGTACCCCAAAAAGTCCATAGATGGGGCTTTGAAAGCCCCTACAGGTCATCAGTTTAGGGATACAGGTAAATATTGGCCATATAATTTTTGCTCTCATCATGGTGTGCGCGGGGATACCCAACATGCATAGCACAATCGTAATTTTCGTACGTAAGCGCACCCGACGCGTGTTTACTTTAATTGCTATTATATAGGGTGGCTTACAAGCCCCCCATGTGATAGCATATTGGCAGTGGCAGGTTCTCTTTAAGGTGATACTGGGGGTCTGAGAGACCCCCAGTATCACCTTTTCACTCTAAATAAGCTTTTGAAGTGCAGATTGTATTCTATACTTTAATAGCATATTGCTAGGCTTCAGGAGCGATGAAAGCTATGAAAAAATGTAAAAAGGTATTTGCGCTTATGGATCTCTCTCCCTTTTAACCCAATAGCTGAAAACTGCAGTAAGAACACCAAAACAGATCTAAGATATTTGGTCGAAATAACTATAAACAAAGTGCACTGCGCTATTTCCCCTCAAAATTAAGCCTTATCCCCAAACCTCTAAGAAACAAAATATTCATTAATCAATGTGAACGGAATCATATCAACCGCTGAATCTGTTATACAATTCAAACATAACAATTACATTTCTCGATTGTGTGGAATAACCATTCATAAAGAACCTGTCTTGTAAGTGAATATAACAATTTGTCTAAAAAATATTAGGTGTAAATATATCACAATCCAAACAATACTGGAGCCGCAAAGCTCCCTAATAGACCCCTCCAGTTAGTCTTGTAACAAATAGTGAACCACTCAACCATAAATAAATTAATAAGTAAATAAATATAATGTGTTAAAGTTCATATACAGGTGAAACTCGAATAATTAAAATATTGTGCAAAGTTCATTTATTTCACTAATGCAACTTAAAAGGTGAAACTAATATATGAGATAGACTCATTACATGCAAATCAAGATAATTCAAGCCGTGATTTGTCATAATTGTGATGATTATGGCTTACAGCTCATGAAAACCCCAAGAACCCCAAATCCACAACCTCAAAAAAGTAGATTATTACATGCAATCAATAAAACAAGGATTGTACATAGAACAATATTGGACCTCTGAAAAGTACAAGCATGCATATGTACTCAGTACTTGGTTTGGGCCCCTTTTGCCGCACTTACTGCAATTACTTTTGCACG